TCTGTGTGTGTGTGTGTGTGTGTGTGTGTGTGTGTATCTATGTATCTGTTTGCCTGTGTGCGTGTGTGTGCCTGTGTGCGTGTGTGCCTGTGTGCGTGCCTGTGTGCATGTGTGTGTGTATCTGTGTATGTGTATCTGTGTATGTGTGCGTGTGTATCTGTGTGTGCGTGTGTATCTGTGTGTGTGTGTATCTGTGTGCCTGTGTGCGTGTGTATCTGTGTGTGCGTGTGTATCTGTGTGTGTGTGTGTATCTGTGTGCCTGTGTGTGTGTGTATCTGTGTGCCTGTGTGTGTGTGTGTGTGTGTATCTGTGTGCCTGTGTGTGTGTGTGTGTGTATCTGTGTGTATCTGTGTGCCTGTGTGTGTGTCTGTGTGTGTGTGAGAGAGAGAGAGAGAGAGAGAGAGAAGGGTGGTGATGAGAGAGAAGCAGTTCTTCGCTATTTCAGCAGTGGGGACCTGAGATGGGGGAGTGTGAGAGGCTGAGTGGGAGAGTGAGAATGAAAGGCAGCAGCAAGAGCCTCAGGCGTCTGCTGGGCCGTCCGTCGAGGCAGGATACCTCCATCTGAGCTGCTCCAGCTGGGCAAATGCTGGAGGAAGAGCAAGACTCAAACATCTACTCTTAGCCCCTCAGCTGGCATGTACTGTTCATGAGGATGATGATTCTGATGAAGAGAAGACAGACAAAGGGACTGCTCATATTTTTGGGGTAAGAAAGCCATGACAACCAGAAGGAAACCGTCAGCATGGCATCCTTGAAAATTCAGTAAAAACAGTCATTTTGTGTGACCTGCATGCTTTATTTAGTGGGTTAATCAGCAACCAAACATAGTTTTGCTGTGTAGGGAGGACCTACATTATCAATAAAATAACTCCGCTAAAGCTTGGAACAGGGACAGATTTGGGTAAATGGGTTGAAATTAGCATAATTGCACAGAGAGAATGTGAAGTGGTCCAGCTGACGGACACTGAGAGGGTTGCTATTAGCATAACGTTAGCACAGTAAGTGTGAAAG